AGGTGCTGGTGCTGGTGGGGCCCCAGCAGAAGGCAGCGCCCTCCAGAGGATGCCACCATCTGTAAGATCTGCTCGGCTTGCAGAGCTGCCCAGGCCAAAGCCACGGCCCAGGCGGGGAAGAGCGATTCTTTGCTATGGTGTCAGTGTCTCTTAACTACCCACTGGCAGATTCCCTTTGACACCACCTGCCAGGCACAGAAGGCCCTCAAGTGTTAGAATAAACCAGTGACTACAAACTCTAGTAGAGGTGCCCAACCCGTGGCCTGCAGGCTGCATGTGGCTCAAGATGGCTATGAATGCGGCCCATCACAAAACTGTAAATTTACTTAAAACATTATGAGGGTCTTTTTTTTTTGTTTCTGTTAGTGTTTATGTATTTGATGTGTGGCCCAAGACAACTCATCTTCTTCCGGTGTGGCCCAGAGACGCCAAGAGGTTGGACACCCCTGCCTAAGGGATGCAGATTGACAGGACTGGGGCTTCCCTCAGACTTGACCTTGATGAAGACATCTGCTCCGAGGGTGGTCACTAGAAGGAGTTCTGTGGGAAATTGGGTGAAACAAAGTAAAAGAGGTCTCTATTTTGAGTCTTCTAATGTTTGCTAAGCTACATTAGAATTGCTGAGGACAGAGCATGCAGCATTTCCTGAACTTATTGACTCACAGAAACCTTTGCTGAGAGATTTCTATCAACATCTCATGGGACTAGTGTTCCACAGAACCTAACTTTGGAGACGCCTCCCATAGCCTCCCGTGTTTCCTGGTACTGCTCCACAGTGCAGACCCTCTGCTGCCCAGTCCCTCCAACACTGCCTGCCTCTTCCTGCCTCCGTGCTCTTGTTTGTGCTGTGCCTGTCCCGGAAATGCCTTTTTGCCCTCCATCATTCCATATTCTTTCCACCTTAAGTCCCATCCACTCCACAAAGTCTCCCAGATGCCCCCCACAGTGTGACTTAACCACTCCTGCTTTAGTCTCCTCAAATAGACTGCAGCTGGGCACGTGTCATTTCTTTGTGTCCTCCACAGCACAGCGCTGGCCAGGCAGGGGGCACTTCAGGAGTCCTCAGCTGATCAGTTCGGGCCATGGCAGGTGCGCAGACTGGCTACACCTGAGGGCCGGCGTGAGCAACGCCCCCTGGCCACCTTCTCTCCCCTCAACCCCCATGCCAGTGCATCAGGTGTAAAGCACACGGTCCTCAGTGGGGAAAGAAATTTTCCACCTCTGGAACTTTGCTCCCTTCCTCTGCTTCTTAATATGCAGGAAGCACGGCCAAGAGGGAAGGGAACCCCCTGATCTATTTACATGTTCGCTTCCTCCACAGTGCAACCCGGGGCATTTTCTTATTTAATTATTAATGTCCTAAATCAGATGGGGCCTGATACGTTAACCTCTGTCACTCCGAATGGAGTCGGCCTAATAGCCACTGTGGCAGGATTGATTTTCCCTCAGTCATTGCATAAGCATATGTCTTTGGGATCCATCCTCTGAGAGAGCCCGGGGAAGCCCCATTAAAGTTAATGGCCATGAGTGGCCTCTGTGTGCGACCAGCTCTCCTTTGTCTGTTCTTCACGCTGCCTCAGTGACATGTCTGAGACAAATAAAAACACTTTTTCTAAAATCAGTTCCCGAAAGGAATTGACTAGTTCAGCTTAGGACCCAACCCCACCTTCAAGATGCTTACAGACACACGGGGAAGATTAAGTAAACACGTGAGAAAGATATCAATGAAGGACAGGGAGTGACAAGTGCTGGCCAGGCTGTATGCTATGGAGCGATCTGTGCCTGGCACCCCATAGGTGCCAAGCCCTGCGAGGAGCGGGAGGGGTGGGGCCTGAGCTGGACCTCCTGTGGATGATATTTGGATTGCTGAGTGAAGGAAGAAGGGGATTGAGGGCCCCCCCATAACCCATCAGTGTAAGTGAGGGGCGGGGTGGAGAAAGAGCAGGAAGGAAGACCAGAAGACCAGCCTGACTCAGGAAGGAGGGCTGGCGATTAGAATGTAGACTGGGCCAGGTTCAAAGAAAAAGTCTGAGGGCTGCCCTGGCTTTTGTGGCTCAGTGGATTGAGCACCGCCTGCAAACTGAGAGGTTACCAGTCAGGGCACATGTCTGGGTTGAGGGCCAGGTCCCCAGTTGGGGGCGTGCTGATGTTTCTCTCCCTCTTTCTCCTTCCCTTCCCCTCTCTCTAAAAGTAAGTAAACAAAATCTATTAAAAAGTCTGAGGTCTGGGGGGTGTCCGAGAGGAGTCATCTCGTACACTCTCAGCCTAGGTGTCCCTCTCCCCCTCACACCCCCTCCCCCACACTACTACAGAGGTGGTCTTGGCCTCAGGTGGGGAACTCTGCAAATGCTCAGGGTGGGACTGGTCAAGGCGAGGGTGGGACTCCTGGGGAGCCCCCCTGCCCTGTCAGCCTTAATGTGCTTAGACCCTCGGTCTAAATGCCACCTGACTGTCTGTGTCCTTGTGTTCCCCTGTCCATCTCCACTTCCTGTGTGCTCGTCCAAACACTCGCCACCCTCTCTGTGCTCCAGGTTTCTCACCACCAGTGGGTGTCAGCTAAACTGTCTTAAGAGTCCAGGCCTGAGTCTGAAAGAAAGAGGCTTTTATGAAGATTTATTATAAAAAGATCTTCCCAATTACAGCAAAGATCCAAGTTACCTCCATCTCCCACCCCTTCCCTGTCACCATAGATCAAAAGAAGCCAGAGGAACAATGTCCTCTTGTCCAGGTGGCCTCATCTGTTGATGTTCAAAGCTTCATAAGTTTGAAGATGCAGCTGGAGGGTCCTTTTGGGAGAATTCTGGAGGTTCCAGGAGCAGCCAAAGTAATGAGGCAGGGCCATAGAGACCAAGACAAGGCATTCTCTGCAGTTGGCATTCAGACTCCTTGCCTTTCTGAGTGTGGTATCCCTTTGTTTATTTTTTAAATTTGATTTATTTGATGCCTGATCATCCCAAACCCCACCTGGAAGAATATGCTCATCACCAAAACGCAGTGCTGCAACCTGGGTAGGCTCCTTCTCGTCCCAGTGGCGTCTCCTCCTCTTTGGGGCGAATGGGTTGAAACGACCTGCAGCCCAGTGCTGTGCAGACTCCAGGCTGTGACGGGTGCTCTGCGGAGGTGGGATTAGGTCTCCAAGAGCTGGGTGTGGGGTGTGAGCGGGCGGGGGAGATAGGTGTGACTGTGGCTTGCCCACTCCTGAACTCTGCAAATTCAGCAGAAACACCAGGATCGCTTTCCTCTTTCCTAACTGATTTTCAGAGTACATTTAGCCAGATTATTTTTAGATTTCAAATAGAAAGAAAAACCTCATTATTCATTAATTTGGACCCCTATGGCTTTACAGAATTGGTCACATTTGTTTATCTTTGAAGGAGCTGCTAAGAAAGAGTTTAACAAGGAAGTTATTGGGGATGGGGAAGAGAGCGGTTAACCTTTCACAAAGACAGGAGCTCCATTTAGCTTCCCTCTGGGTACAAGTGGGGGCATGTGCCACATCCATGCATTCTTCTCTGTCCCCAGGAAGGGTGAGCGCTTCCTCGTCTGTAAACTCAGGGCCAATGAACTAGAAATCCTCAACCTCATTTCAAGCTGGGAACCCCTTTCCAATGTCCAAATATTTTCAATACCATCCCCACCCGCAGGTAATAGAAGTTGCTTTTTTAAAAATCCTCACCCAAGGATATGTTTATTGATTTTAGAGAGCAGGGGATAAAAAGGGAGAGACAGAGAGAGAAACATCCATCAGTTGCCTCCTGTACAGTTGCCACAACCAGGAATCGAACCCGCAATATATTTGGGGCATGGGTTGATGCTCCAACAAATTGAGCCACCTGGCCAAGGCTAGAAGTTGTGTGTGTGTGTGTGTGTGTGTGTGTGTGTGTGTGTGTGTGTGATTGAAAAGAAAAGCTGCTTTGAATTCAGTAAAGCTTTTAGTCAAATCGCGATAGCGTCTATGTATACATGAAAAATAGTGCCATCTTCCTGAGTCACAGTGTGCATTCAGTCTATAGCCAGCGTATGAGCAAATAGGAATTCCACATCCCCAGAGGTGGCTCTGAGGCCCCCTCTACCCTCACTCGGTGGGAATCTTTGGGCAATTCTCTAAGGCTATAGGACCACAGCGTGCTTTGGTCTTAGGACAGGAAGGGATCTCGGGTCATTTCAGCCACTCCTCTATGAAGAGTCCTTTGTTGGGAAATCCTCAGTGTAGGGGACCAAGGATGTTGGCATTCTTTGCATGCGCTCTTAACGCCTGTCACAGGCTGTCACTTCAGGGGCGTAGATCAAACTCAACAAGTTCCTTCCTTGAAGCCCCCTACCAAGCAAGCTGCCCAAGCTCTTCGTCCCATGGCGGGAACGACGTGCAGTGACTTACATCACTCTGGCTGTCAGTGGCTTCATATCCCATAGGAGCAAGAGAAGCCAGGTGCACTTTCCGGGTGGCTTGCTTGACCAGAGCTACCTGGAAGGGTTTTCTCAGCTTGGCTCTCCCAGGGCCACACCAGACACCTCCCGTCTCTTTCTTTGTGGCAGGAGGGGGCGTAGGGAGAGGAATTGAATGGGCAAAGCACAGGACGGAGGGAGTAGTTAAGTCGAGGGTTCTTGGTCCCAGGTTGCACTCAGCTGCCAAGGGCACCCCAAAATCATAGCTGCATGTTGCATGTAGGGGCATTTTTCTGAGAAGGAAGTCTGTGACTTTCATGAGTTGTCAAAGTAGTCTGTGAGCCAAAAAACTTTCAGAAGCCCTATCTTGGAATGGTGACTTTTCCCTGAGTCAGGCTTCCTCCTCCCTGGTTACTCAGAATCCGTGAAGTGTTACCATGTTAGTCAAAGGCTGCAAGTGTAAAAATATCAAATGCTCATTACAGGACAATGATGGGAAACTTCGTCTGCTTAGCCAGTCTGCTTAGCGAATTCATGTGAGAAATCTCAGTGCCAAACAGATGCCTGGGAAACCAGGCTGATTAATGACGCTGCTTCTTTGTTTTCCTGCACAGGGCCCGGGATGGCACTCTCAGTGACAGGGCTCATTGTCTTCTCCCTCCTGCAAGCCGTCCTCTCTTTGAACCCCGAGGACCCCAATGTGTGCAGCCACTGGGAGAGGTAAGATATAGGTCTCAGATGGCCAGGGACTTCCTGGGCTTCGCGCTGTTGGTACAAAAGCAGAGGCAAGAGGTACGGAAGCGGTGCACCGAGGGCCTGCAGTCCAGCTGGAGAGAGAAGCCCAGACTCCGAAAGACAGGACAAAGCAGTAGAGATTCTGTCTGAGACTCAGTGTGGTGGGAGGTCAGGGTGCAGGGGGTTGAGTGACAGCAACTTAAATGATGCAGTCCGATGGCTGACAAGGTACTTACGCTGCTCCCTGCATTCCCACTTCCCAGCCATTTTACAGACGAGGAAGTAGAGGCCCAGAGGGGCTCAGTGCCCATCCATAGCCAGGTGGGGTGCAGTGAGTTGGTCTGGTCCAGATGTGTTGTTCTCTGATGCTTTGATATCTTTCCTGCTCTCCCAGGACAGGAGACAATGCAGCGTCTTGGACACGTGGGTGGTCAGCAGGCTGCCCTGAGGGGATGGGTGGAGGGCCCTGGTGCTTTGGGTCTGGTGGTGGTCAGAGCACTGTCAGGGGAAGAGCAGCTGGGGGCAGAGGCAGATGAGCCAGCTGCGGCACTGGGTCCCAGGGGAACAGGCCGGGGCCCTGCAGACGGCCTGACTTTGAAGCACAAGGTTAAAGTATCGATTTGGGTAAGCAGAAAGACAGTGACCAGAGACCCAATCAGGAAAAACCGAATTAAACCCTGGAATTGATTGGCCATGCTGACCAGGACAACTCTGCCACTTGGATGTTAATAAATCAAATGAATAAAATTAAGATGAGGGCTCGATGGGGGAAGAAGATGGTAGAGGGCAGGTGAGGGGGAGGGGGCATCAGTGCTCCATGGCCATCAGGGTGAATGTCCCAGTCCCACCACAGGTAAAGGTGTCTCACCCAGGGCCCTGGAGGGAGTGGCCAGGGAGGCAGAGGGACAGCGCCTGCACCAATGTGATTTTTAGCGACTGGCGCTCTGTGAGGAGTCCCTACAGAGTCGAGGCTGGAGCAGAAGGCATGTGCCTTTTTTAGGTGAAATGGGAAGACTATGAGATCTATGATGAGTAGACCTTGGTTCTTTCCCGTCTGGAGTTTTTCAATGATTAGTTCTATGATTTGGGGGACGTCTCTGAACCACTCTTGAGTCTACTTCCACCTGTGTAAAGTTGGGGGACAAAGACCTTTGCTTCCCAGGTTGTTAGAAAGTCAGGGAATCAGTTTCACCAAAGTGCTCAGTTACTACTTTTTCTTGTTGACAACTCGGGCTTTGGAGGAAGTGGTTATTACAGATTTTAATGCACACCAGGCTTGCTGGGAATGTTAATGAAACGCCAAGTCTCTTGGGTCCTAGCCCAAGAGACTCTAGTTCCATAGGTCTAGGGTAAAGCCCAGGAATATGTATTTTCATTAGCTTTCCATATGACTGTGAGGTAATTCAGGGCCCTTGACCTTCTTGTTTTGGTGAATTTAAACCTTTATTTATCGGTGGGTGAGTGAGAGAGAGAGAGAGAGAGAGAGAGAGAGAGAGAGAGAGAGAGAGAGAGAGAGAGAGAGAGAGAGAGAGAGAGAGAGAGAGAGAGAGAGAGAGAGAGATCATGTGGAATTCTCTATTAGTCTCTGGTTTTTGGACTCCAGGCTCATCAACGCTGTCTTGTCCACTTGTCCCAATTGAGGCACAGTTGCTTCCTGCCCCTGTCTCTGCTGTACCCCAGCCCCAAGCATGCCTCCTTCCGTTCTGCCCACCTCTGCCTCTCCTGCTGCACCCAGCCAGGTCCCTCCCCTCTAGGAAGCCCACCCTGACTTCCTTCTTCTCTGAGTTCCATTTGCACCAGTGGATCAGTTCAAACTTAAACCAAAACTCTCTTAAGTTTCTTAACTTAACCTGTTCAACATGAATAAATTTGGAATACGAAAATATCTGAATCCAGACTGCACGGAGCTGGCATTTCAGGTTGACAGGGTTATCAGCTGAATATATAGCTTTGATGGGAGAACAAAGAGGGACCCTAACAGCTAAAACAAGGTCTGGGGATCCCCTGGGCTTCTTTAACCCCTGGGGAGGAGGCCTTGCAGTGATGCCTCCGTGATACCAAGCACCTCCTTTCTCTTGGCTTTTCCAGCTGAGCCAGTTACACATAGATGGATCTAGTCTGTGCCATTCCAGAAACACACCCTGGCCCGTGGAGGCTGCTTAGGGAAAATTTCCCAGTGAGATTGGTGCTTCTGGCAGCTCCTTGTTAATTATGCCCCTCCACCATAAAAACCCAATGGAAAGAACTGTGCCCCCCCAACCCCCGCCGCTAGTAAAGCCCAGCTCTACAAGATTAATCTGGCCCCTCATTAGCATGTTGGCAAATGAGCATGTTAAACCATCCAGCCATGAAACCAGGGCACACACTTCATCCCAGACACTTGGAGTTGGTTCAGGGTCTTGTTGCCAGACCTGCTGGGCTCAGGGCATTCCTGCAGAGCCAGCTCTGTCCCCCATGACACCCACCCTGCTCCCTGTGTTGGGATGGTGCCTTTTCTCTGAGCACCCACTATCCCCCTCAGTTCTGGGGTGGGTGCACAAACCCTCGAGTGCTTAACAGAGGCAGGGAGTCCATTCTCTGTGTGGGTCTTGCTCTGTTTTCCCTACCTGATCTGGGAAGAAATATTCCTCAATGCCTAGCACAGGAGGTAAATTACCACCAGACTTTTAATAATGATGACCAGTATCTATTAGACATTTACCATGCACCTACTAATCATTTTACATATATTATCTTCCCACCACCCTGAGATATAGATACTATTATTGCCCTCCTTAATCTTCACAATAACTACGTAAAATCCCTGGTAATATTTAGCACAGATTTATAGGTGAGGAAATGGAGGCTTACATGAGTCTTACATGTCTAAGGACATGCTGCTAACAAGTGACAGGGTTCAACCTTGACCCAGAGCCCATGCACTCTTATCCTCTCACCCTCCTGCCTCTAAGTGAAGTGTCAGAGCACAAGGTCATGGAATTTTGGAGTTGGCAGTGGCTCTGGGAAGCTAGGGTGGGTGCGGAGCTGCCTCAGTTTCTCCAAGTCTGGAGATAAAGCAGAGCTTTGGACCATGTCTGCATGGATGTGGGCCGCTGGGCCACATCTGGCTGGGTTGAGGCTCTCCGAGGGCCCTCCTACAGCCTCAGGTCTTCAGAGAAACAGAATGTCCCCCACCCTGACTCCCTCCTGGGCATGGTCGGCTGCTCCTGGCCTCCTTCTGAATTCTAGACCTTTGCCACTTTGGGCGTCAGAGGGCCTGCTGTGCACACAGTCAGGGAGCTGGCCTGCCTAGCCCTCTTGCAAGTAAACCAATAGTTTCCTCAGGCAAAGCAGACGGGCTTTTATAGCCTGGACCTGGCCATCTGGCCAAGGTCAGTGAGGCTTCTGGGGGAAAAACACTGACTAGTACCAACATACATAAAAATTAATTCCTGAAATCTCAGCCGACGTCCTCTCCCAACCTTCACGGGAAGTGCGAGTGTTTGCTTCATGTCCTGGCTTGGCTGCCTTCTCATACATTTCCTGCCAGGGATAGGCAGGTGCGAAGGCTTGTTTTCCTGAAGTTGAGACCTGCTTCCCTGTGGCTTCCACTTATTGGTCCAGGTTTACCGCCAACAGGCAGGAAGACGAGCTACCACTTTGATCGGCAGGCCTGGGGCAGGTCCTCGATGTACCCCCAGCTACACAAGAAGCATAATGACAGGACAGAGGTAGCCTGTGACTTTGGGAGAGTCACTTATCCTCTCTGAAGCTCAGTTTTGTCATCTGTGCAATGAGGATATAGCAATGCCACTTACCTTAAAAGATTATGTGAGGATTACAAACAAGGGCTTCAGACTCTAAAGGCAGGGCACTTACTGTGTATTGGCAGTTATTGCTACCAGCTGTGTGACCTGGGCAAGTCACCTCTCTCTGAGCCTTAGTTACTTCATCTGTAAAATGGGACAACTTCACAGAGTTGGTACAAAGATCAACTTCCATGCAGGTGCTTTGAAAACCGTTAAAGATTTAAACAACTATTTCAAAACCTGTTGGCTCTGCCTCCCAAAACCACATAGAATAAACCTGAACCCTCCTTTATTCTTTCTCTGTTAATTGAACAAATGAACAAGAATTTCAGAAAATGAGCTGGGCTAAAGGGCAGTAAGATGCTTGTCCTGGATCCAACCAGGCATCAGGTAGGTTTGAATGCCAAGCGCAGGAGGAAGAGAGTGGGGTGGTGGGGTGAGGGGGTGTTGGAGCCCGTGGACACTTGTCTGTGGCCTGGCTTCCCTGGGGAGGGAGACCCCATCCTGAATATCAGCTCAGCCTCCCAAGTGCTGACTGTAGCTTCCATCTCCCGTCTGATTCTCAGCTATGCTGTGACTGTCCAAGAATCATACGCACATCCCTTCGACCAGATCTACTACACACGATGCACAGACATCCTCAACTGGTTCAAGTGCACCAGGCACCGGTGAGTACCTCTCACAGATGATGGGGCAGGAAAGGGTGCCAGACCCTCAGGGTTTGCATTTCTGCTAATTAGTAAAAGGTCCCTATAGCAGATGTGGCCCGTGGACTGCCTATATTCCTTGGTTCTCACTCTTCACACTGACCACCTGAGATGCCCTGATGAGGGCTTTTTTCTAGCCAGAGGAGCTTATGGGCAGGGCAGACCAAACATGCCAGAGAATTTATGCCTTGGGGGCACACCTTAACCAACAACTGATAGGGAGTTTGTAGGTAAATACCCCAGCTTTCTTCCCCTGAGAACAGAGGGGCCAACTCTGAGTGTGTTCTACACTGTATCCCAGAGGGCCTCAGTCACCCATAGCAGTTACCTGCTCAATAGCACACCCTGAATTGGCTGCCTTTATTTCCCTGTCTCACTTTCCCATTCCTCTCCTAGTGCTTCCTAGGATGACCTCCTCAATAAACTACTTGTCCTTGAATCCTTGTGTCAGGTCTGCTGGGGGGGAGGGGAATCTGACCTAGGACAATCCCCCTGCTCAGCGCATATGTAGCCTCATGCCAGGGCATCTGGCTTGGAGGACGGAGAGCAGGCTAGAAGTCAGGGCCCTCTCAGCATCTGAACAACTGCACGTGGGAATCCCGCTCCCTTGTCTCGGCCTCCTGCAAATCATGAAATGCTCCTATGTCACCAGGAGAGGAGATGAAGGAAGAGAGAACATGTTTTGTTGGATGACCCTGGGCAAATCACTGTATTTTGGGATTTCCATGCACTCATTAAACATAGAATGATCCCTGCCTTACCTACCCACAGGGTCCAGTAAGGTCAGGAATATGAAAATACTTTGAAAAATGAGGGGAGGATGGAGAAAAGATGGAGTTATTAGACCCAGGCAAGGTGACATTATTACTTGAGGGTCTGAAAAACCAGCAGATGAAGAGTTAGTGAGGGCTGAGTGAGAGGCTACTTAGAAGGCTCATTCCCTAGTTGCTGAGCATCTGTCTTGGTTCCAGATTTCTTTTGCTTCCTCCTTGTGGGTCTAGTCCATCTTTGGGATTTATGCAGGAATCATGGTGAGTAGCATGTGGATGGGGAAACTTGCTCTACACTGAAAAGCCAAAGTCCTGATATTGTTTGGGGTTTTGCTAGTAACTTCCTGTGAGACACTGAGCATAGATATGATAACCACTTAAGATTCTTGCCTGCTAATCCAGCAGCTGGGTCATCTCAGGGCTTGGCCTTCCTTGGTTGTCTTTTCTCTTATGTAGGTAATATTTTCTAGTATCTTTATATATCTAGTAATTTTGAATTGTGTGCTAGGCATTGTGAACAACAGAGACAGTGGAGACAGAATTCTGTTTTGTTCCCCCAGAGAGTATCAATTTGTTGTTGCTTGCTTGCTTGTTTTTTGTTTTAGCAGTCCTTTAACTTGGCTGAACTCAATTTCCAAATTCTGAAAATTTAATTTTTTTAAAAAGATTTATTTATTTATTTTTAGAGAGAGGGGAAGGAAGGGAGAGAGGGAGAGAAACATCAGTGTGTGGTTGCTTCTCAAGGACCTGCTACTGGGGACCTGGCCTGCAACCCAGGTGTGTGCCCTGACTGGGAATTGTACCAGCAACCCTTTGGTTTGCAGACTGGTGCTCAGTTCACTGAGCCACACCAGCCAGCGCCTGAAAATTTAATATTTTTAGCCTTACCTGGACTGCTTGGAACCTGCTCTCCATGCACATTATTCAGGGGCCAGAAGTTTGGGCAGAGATTTTACCAAGAATATGGGCTTCCTCCTTGTGGCTCTCTTCTTTCTGGGGTTTCCCTTTTCACTTTTTAGTTGCTGGGTCCACCCTGGACTTGTCCTGTGGTTCTTCAAGACAACAGGGCTGCATGTCTTCTATCTGAATTTTAGCTGCCTGGAGTATCTCTTGTTGACTGGGGTCTGCCCTTGGACTAACCTTGCCCAGTGTCATTCCCTTCTTCCAAGTGTTTACTCCCCTCTAGTGCCTTCAGGTAGTTGTTTTTTGTATTTTCTCGAGATTGCATAACTGTTTGCAGTGGGGTTGGTCCAACAGGAGCTACTCAGCCATTACTGCATCCCCTTCCTCTAGCCCTCGGCTATGAAATGAGGAGGTGGGACCAAGTGCCCCTTCAACACCCCAGTTATGCCAAGTTAGCTGCCTGTGGCCCTGGTCAAAGGCAGAGGCAGAAATAGAGTCCTGCTCCCTCCATGAGCCGGTCAGGCTCTGAGCCAGAGCCAAGTTTGCTCTGAGGCGTGGCTTTGTTGGTTACTTGAGGTTGGAGCTGCCGTCTGTCACTGCTGGGGAAGGGCGAGTGAGTGGATGCTTATTAAAATAGGCTGCATTCCTGGAACATGAATTATTTTCCTAAATTATTGAGTCGCCTTGCAGCCTTCCCAATGACCTGGAGTGTGCACGCAGACAGCTGCACCATCAGTCTGCCTCTGTGCGGAATGCCTTGTTTGAACACAGTATCATTTTCTCAACAGCGGCCTGGCCCCTGGCTCCTTCCCTCTCCTGCTTCCCACCCCAACACTGAGAGCAAGCAAGGATGGGAAAGCAAGAAGCATTGGGGACATCTCTCTCCTGTGAGGCTTTAGTGATGTCAAGACCACCACCCCATTGGAGTGCTAGGGGAGAACCCTGTTTGGTGGGAGGAATAGGCTGGGTGACTTCAGAGTCAACCCCAAGTTGTTCCTTATCTGAGAGGCTAATACCATCCTTGAAATAGCCAGGAGCTGCCTCCCTATGCCGGGAGAATAGCTTCACTTTGAGGTTGGCTTACCTTTCATCATGGGCTTGTGACAAAGTAGAATGACCTTAGTTTACAACGTTCCCAAATATCACAGACTTCCCCAGAGTCCCACACTGTCATTTGTCATAAAGCGAGGGCTTTAAGGACGGGGGAGCCTGTATGACAGGACTCCCTTCCCAAGTTGGCCTGACCCTCCATGAAAAGCTGGCTGTCGGCATCTCCAATGACCCGCCCCTGCTGCTCTGCCCCGAGGAGGGGTCCGCGGGGCAGGCTCCCCTCTAGTTGCTGGGGGGGAAGTGAGAGAGCTCTGGCTTCAAGGCCGAGGGACTTGGGGTTGAGTCCTAGTTACATGACGTGACCTTGAGAAGTTACTTTCTCTTTCTGACCCTTGATGGCCACTTCAGACCACCTCCATTTTGACCCTATGTGTGTGGAAGGGGATTTGCCTATTAATATCCCATTTTGACTCCCTCTTGTGGGCTCAGCCCTCACACCATCTGTTTCCCTTTCCTTCCTCTGTTTTTATGGCCATCCCATAAACCCAGCAAGCCACCTTGTGTGGACTGGCATCTAGGTTAAGCCTAGTAGCTTTGAAATTAGACTGACTTGCAAATCCTGGTTCCAAAACTGTCCAGCTGTGTGACCTTGAACAAGTCATCAACTCCTCTGAATCTTAGTTTTCTCTTCCATAGAACAGAATGGGTGCTGGGGGTACATAAAATTAAGTAAGAATAAAAACTCTAAAAAAGCAATAAAATAAAGAGGCATAATGAAGCTCCCTGCAGCAAGGAGGGAATGGAATGAGATTTCGCCTATCAATCACTCTGGCACGGGGCAAAGTCTCAATACCCATGTCAGCGTAAAGACTGGAACCCAGGTCTTCGACTCCCAGTCCCGAATTTTCTCGGTTCTCTGGGCCTTAGCTTCCCCCCTCTGCAGAGCCAGATTTGGGTCTGAGCCTTCCCAGAGATGGCCTATGAAGCTCATCCCCAGGAGGTGTTAATTTTGGTGTGGGAGAGATTAACCTGCCTCTGGGGCTGAGTCGGACTCAGAGGGTCCTTTGGAGACTGTGCTTCACTTCTCCAAGTCGGTGGACCGATTTCCAGGGGGCCATAAGCAATCTGCTTGTTGGGATGGTGGCAGTAGACATAGAAACTCTCAGAATCCCTGTCCCATCCAAGTCACCCCTTGGACCCCTCCAGCCCAGGGTCCAGAAGTTTTAAAAAGTCCCCAGTTACTCTCCACAGTGTCAGTTCAGACAGTATCTTCTGCAGCCCTTCTAAGTATCATTCTGAAGAGATTGGGGAAAAGTCCGCAGGTGTAACAAACACTGTGTCATTCTGTACCACAACAGCCCAGGTCCTGCCACCGATTGTTCTTTACTGTGTTCCTTCATATTCGAAGCCACTGTGCATTTTAAAGTAATTATTGAATGGCATCCTGGATATAGCTTAACACAAATATCATTCTAACAGGAGTGATTGATTTTCAATACTTTCAAGTGGCTTTCTCCCTTGTGCCTTAGGATCAGCTATAAGACAGCCTATCGGCGTGGCCTCCGGACCATGTACCGGCGAAGGTCCCAGTGCTGCCCTGGCTACTACGAGAACGGAGACTTCTGCATACGTATGTAGGGGCTGCCTCTGTTCTGGCCTCAGTGGGGATGGGAGGGCAGGAAGGGGGGTCCGAGGGGAAGAGGGGTAGAGCTGTCATCCAGACTTGGGACCACAGGTCTCAGCTAACCCAAGGACTCCAGAAGTCCCTGCCTGCTGCCAGTTTGGAGGGAACAATGGGTCTAATGCAAATATGTTAGCACATAATCGTCTATCAGGTCAGCTCCCTAAGAGAGTTGGAAGCAAGTCAGGTCTAGGCTCTGAAGGGGTCAGGAGAGACATGGATGCTTCTGGAGTGGGTGCCCTGGGGAGCAGTGGGAAAAAGTGCTGAGTGCTTGTCACAGAGCTGAGGCCATAGCAGGTGCTCAAGGCTTTGTTGGATGGGAGAGGAACTGAATGGATAAATGAATGGAGAGATGAACAGACGATGGATGAGAGGAAGGAAGGCAGGCTGGATTATTGGATGGCAAGATCAGGGTACCTAGAAGGAGAGTGGCAAGAGTAAGACATCACAAGGGACCTGTTCCAGGAAGTGGGAGGGTTTCCAGAAAGGATTGGAACACATCAAAGAAAAAGTGGGTTCATGAAAGACACTTGTTACTTCTTCCCCTTTTTGTCTGCAGTGGCTTAGGAAACTGAAGCCTTGGTGTCCCCAGAGAGATGGGCTGATGTGCCAGCAGCCACGGGCCCTCTGGGTGCGGGCAGTGTGGTGCAGTGGGGGACACCCAGAGTAAGAGCCTGCAGGTCAGGGGTTTGGTCTTGGCTTCCTAGGCATGTGGTTTTGGGCAAGTCGCCGGACCTCCCCGGGAGACTGGCTTAGGGCCCTGTTACAGTCTAATGGACTCTTCCCCCACTCACCTCTGACTGGTGGAGTGGGACCAGTCTGAGGCTTTCTAGTGGACATTAGAATATTCCCTCAACTGCAGGGGACTGTCAGAGAAGTGGGGAGGCCCCCGTTTAATTGCTGAGAGAAGAATCTGCCCCCACAGCTTCTGCCTCTGCATTTGGAGGCAGATTTGAAGAGTGATTTTCCTTGTTAGTATTCTCCTTGCCATCTGGGTGGGTAGAGTGAGCTAGCACCAGAGAGGGAATTTGGGCAGAGTGGGCGTGTTGATGTTGGGAATGAAATGACAATTTTCCCCAACTGTTGTTATATATCCCCTAATGCTGGAGAAATTCAATTCTAATTGCATTACAGGAATGAATGAAAAATGCTCCAGCAAAGGGGGTCAATACTGATGGTTTTTCAGGAAAAATACAAAGATACTCACCCAAAGCAAACTCAAAACGCAGTGCAGAGGACTGGGCTGGGCCTCACCTGGGATGGGGTTACTGTGGGGACCCGCGTGTAGAAGTGAGGTCAGGACCAAGGCTTTACCGCTGCTGTTCTGTTTGCCTGGAGCGGAGTGAGGGGCAGGCCGGCGGTGGGATGCCGGAGTCATAAGGCCCAAGCAGGATGGGCGTGAGCAGCCCTTTCGAGCTTAGGGCACCCAGGGATGGGCTCGGGGAAACCATAAAGGAGTTTGGACACCAGCGCGGGGCTTCAGGAGCAGATGAGTGCCTTCACTTCCTAATTTCCATTCATGAGTGTTGGTCAAGCTCTTGGAAAATGAAGAGCAGGGCAGAAGCGCTCACTGTCCTGATTGCACCAGCTTGGTCTTGCTGGCTGGGAAGCCAGCTCATAAACTGCCACCTCCTCCTTATGTAACCACCAGGCACTGCCTGCCGAGCTGGTGGCCACAGGCCAGTCCTCCGAGGAAGCCAAGCTCGAAAAGCCACTTTCAGGACCGAAGGCCTTTCCTAAGAGGGAACAGGAGAGTTGCCGCAGTGAGACGGGGCGTTGTGGCATGGTGGGTGCGGGCGGTGATGATGGAGAGAGGCCGGAGTCGCATAGGCCCGGGGCGGATCTCGGCTCTGTCACTCCCAGCTTCTTCCTCTTTATCCTCCTCCTCATCATCTGCAGAGTCCGCACCACATGCCAGGCACCGTTCTGATCCCTTTACATCCATCAACGTGCCCGCTTCTCACAACAGTCCTATGAGGTAGGGACCCTTCTCTCTCCCCATTTATAGGTGGGGAAGCTGAGTCATGGAGCAATTAAGTAACTTGACCAAGATCACCACTTTTTAGCTGTGTGATTTTGGTCTATATACTTAATCATTCTGTAACTCGGCCAGAACTGGAACTTGAACCTAGACTGTCTAGTTCCAGAGTCTGCTCTGAACCACTTGGAACAGGCAAGACATGATCTCTCTGAACTCAGTCTCCACTCATGAATCACCAGGCAGAGAGTAAGGGCTTAATAAATTTCAGCTCCCTTCTCCATGGCTTTGGACTTACCATTTTTAGTCTTAGCTGTTGTTATAATTTCTCAGAGATCCACAGACCCTCTTTCTGGGGAAATGCACACTGCATATACAAACCTACATGTACACGTGACCCTTTGCACACAGTTTCAGGGGTTCATGGATCCTTTGAAACTCTTACTGGGTCTTTGGACCCATGGTAAGTAGCTTCTGCCATATGCTCATGTTTCTCCATTCAGCTTACACTTGCTGCTTGCCATTAGGCAAACGCAGGGGATATACATGCAACTGAGAGGTGGTTGCAGCCTGGAGGAGCTTGCAGCGTAGTGGAAGGAGGTGGTCTGGCACAGAAATACCTGCAACAGAGCGATATAGCTGTTTTGACAGGCATCTTTATAAAGTAGGGCAGGGTAAAGAGGAGAGGCTATCTTTTTAGCCACACCCACTTACCAAGTGTTAATGAGAAATCGGCTACACGTAGAAGGGCGAAGGGGGATGCCCTGGGTGTTTCAACCTAGCAGTTATTAAAGGCCTGCTGCGGCCCACCCACAGCACTGCGCCGCTGGCGGGCAGTGTCAGAAGTAGCCCCTGCCCTCATGGAACCTACAGTCTTGTTGGGAGGGCAAGTCTGGTGTACACGAAATCATTAGATAACAGCCGGGAGAGGAATGTGAGAAAGGCTAGACAGACCAGACAGACTCAGGCAGGAGAGGATGACCTGTGATCCCTTGGAGGACAGGGGCGGCGGTGCGGGGGGCACTCTGTGGAGTTTGGGCTGGATGGCCTGACCACAGTGGGCAGGTCCGCGCTGGGAGAAGGCGAGGGTGAGGCTGGCTGGGTGAGGCAACTGCTAATTTCCTAGGCCTGCTCTTACAGAGCACCACAGCCTGAGTGGCTTAATAAACAGCAGGAGTTTACTGTCTCAGTTCTGGAGTCTAGAAGTCTGAGGTCGCAGCGTTGGCAGGGTTGGTTCCTTCTGGGGGTTGTGGCAGAAGATCTGTTCAGTCCCCTCTCCCGGCTCCTGGAGGTCCTTTACCTTGTGGCGATGTAACTGTTCTCCGCACAGCATTCTCCCGCTATGGGTGTCAGTCCTCAAACTTCCCCCATTTATAGGGATACCAGTCATATTGGATCGGGGCTCAGCCTAATGACCTCATTTGAACTTGATTACCTCTGTGAGACCTATCTCCAAATAAGGTCTCATTTGGGGGTTCCAGGGTTTTTTTTAGGAATTTGAGGGAGGACACAATTCAACCATAACAGGTGGGTGTCGGCCGCCTGTGGGCTCTGGCCCCTGTCCATGAGAGAATGGAGACCCAGGTTTGCAGAACGTGTCAGAGGGAGAAATGGTGGTGAGAGGGTGCAGGGTCATGCCCAGGATACTGGTGCCAGATGAGAAGCTTGTAAACCTGGGAGCATTCAGGGGCTGAATCCCTGCAGCCCCCGCCCCTCGACTCCTCCCTCTCCACCTTCCAGAGGCCAGAGGACCTCCAAGTTCACCAGGACCTGGTGAGAACTTATCCAGTGTTGAGAGTCCTCAGGACCCTGCACAGAAACATCACCTGTGCTCTGGGAAGGGGCGTGGGGACATCGACCAGCTTCCTGGAGCCTTGTTTCTCAGCACACAGTAGAGGGACTCTGGCCATAGAGTGAGAAAGCCTTGGCTGACTTTACCAATAACTTGCTGTGCAATCTTGGGCAAGTGCCTTTGCCTCTCTGGTCCCACTGGGTATAGAATGGATCATCTCTGTGTGGGGAGGGAAGAAAGATGAAACAATGAGTGACGGTGTCCTGGAAAACAAAGCTTGATGCAGATGCAGGTGGCACTGTTTTTCTCTTTCTACCATTTCCCCTGCCCCAGAATTGCCACCATTGGCAGCGCTTCTAGAGCCATACACACCAGAGCTCCCCACACCCTCCCATTATCCACAGACAAGCCAAGGCCTGTTCCTTCTTGGTTGATCAGCATCAGATATTTCCTGAGCTCACTGGGCACAAACACATTTCCTTCTTTCTTTCTCCTTTCTTGTGGGATAGGGCAGTCGGCATCCTTACCTCTGCAGACAGAGCTCATTTTAAGTCACATGGCAGGGGTTTGAGGCATTTTGCAAAGCTCTGTTCCTTGAGAATATTAGCCCAACCCTGGCTGGGTCGCACAGTTGGTTGGAGCTTTGTCCCATGCACCAAAAGGTTATGGGTTTGATCCCCATTCGGGGTGCATACAAGAGGCAACGGATTCATGTTTCTCTCTCACATCGCTATTTCTCTCTCTCTCCCTTCCTCTTTCCCTCTCTTCCTCTCTCTCTCAAATTAATAAACATGTCTTCCGGTGAGGATTGAAAAAAAGAAAGGAAAATATTAGCCCACATTAGACTGGATGGGGCTGGATTATGCTGCATTAACAAACAGCAACCAAACCCCAGTGGCTAAAAACAATAGTTTTGTTTCTTATTCATATTACATGTCCATTGTGGGCTAGCCATGGCCTGCTCCTTCTCCCCCTCACCTCAGGACCCTGGCTAAGGAAGCAGCAGCTCTCTACAGTTTTGTTTGTTGCCATGGCAGAGAGAAGAGAGCTCTGGCTGGTGTTGAGGAGAGGGCCAGAGTATTTAGTGAGCAGTGGTAATGCTTATCATACATTCCACACAGATGCCACAGGAACACAAATCACAGTCCATTCAAACGTCTTATTGAGCACCTGCTAATC